TTCTTCATTAGAGTGCCTTTGTAACTAAACAGTTGCCACGGTTCAGTGCCCAAACCTCCAACCAAGATTTTTTTTTCAATTCTTTATTGGAATATTCATTCAGCTCAAAATCCAGCAAATGCGGTCTTTTTTCGATAAGAAATTCCACGTCTTATTTTCATATAAGTATATACTTGTTAGTCATTTGGGGCCTATCTACATACTGTTGTCGAGAAGGTAAAAGTAAAAAGTGTTATCGCACAATAATTTTCAAAGTAAATATCTAAAATTTAAAATAATAATAAATATAATGTTTAAATATTTATGGTTTTTTTTTTTTTTTTTTTTTTTTGCCTAAAAATAAAATTATTTTTTATATGTATTGTTATATAGAGTACAGCATGGAAATTTTCCAAGTTGTACCTGTATTTAAGATACTTTAATTTAAAACAACATTCCTCTAATAGAACATTCTCTCTTATTTTTACAACATTCCTCTTTATAAGGTCGCTGCCTTATGACCAACTGGCTGGCGCTCTGGCAGTCGGTGCTCCAGGCTCGAATCCTGGCTGTGACATTGATGTTCGTTAGTGATTCGAAATGTACGTTAAACTTGTATTTATCGGTCTAGTTAGCCTGAATTGTACTAAAAAATAACAGTAGTGCGAAAAACAAAAGCATTCTTCATACGCTCAAATACAACGATAGTACGTTTGAAAGTTGCTTCGAACTTGAAATTGTACTTTTATGCGTCATAATATCAGAACAGGGGTGGAGCCCTATTTTGATGAATTTCTAAAGCACAGTGCTAATTTGTTCCCACATGTTTATCCAATGTGTTAAACCAAGTGGTCTCTCCTCTTTTAATGATCCAATTTGACCTCGAAAGAATAGCCATTTTTTATTTAAGCCTTACGGAGTGAATGAGGAAATTTAGAATTAGAGAGTCTAATTATAACTATCTTAGATTGAATGATGAGAGTTAGAATTAGTTTATTATTAACAGAGTCAACGTTACCTATAGCACCTTAATTAACAACCCTAAACAAAAAATACCATTAACCAAATTCCCAATTAATGCCCAGATTACACTCTATCACCTTTTTAGTAAGTGTTACGGTAGTACGTTTGCAAGTCCCTCTTAACTTGATTATCTTCTAGTGGACTGACGAGTAATTCATGTCTTTGTCCATGATCTATAGCAGGCAGATAGTCAATTTGCTAGCGTTTGGCAATGGTACCATGGGCTTCAGGTTCGAATAATGGTGGTGGCATAGCTGTTTTTAGTGGTTCGGAATCTACGTCAAACACTAAGTTCCAGTCTAATTTACCTAAAGTGGGCACAAAATGACCGTAGACCGACACACCAAACCGTGTTCTGTCAAATTCTGGTCGACAGTTTTATCCTTCCCTTCCTTAGCATAGACATGAGAACTCGGCTCTCATTGGGTTTGGAACAGATCTCCCCCCCAAAATGTAATAATCGAACTGTCTAATTGAATCATTTTACATCGCTCCTGTAACACCATGTCGTTTGTTTTCGTCTGGAAGAAAGTACACCATGGTGAAAATGCTAGAGAAAACATAATTTCCATTGTACATTCCGTGCAAGAGTTCGAAAATGCTAGTTGATTTGATTTGTAGAGATTGAGTAAATGTTGCAGTACCGTGTGTATGCAAGCATACTCTTTAATAGCAGTAAAAAATGCGATTTAAATTGTCTGCAAACTAAATTTTCTGATCAGTTATTATGCGTCACGAATAATAAATTTTTGGCTAATTTGAACAAATAGGTTTTTGAAACAAATCAACTTAAATAGTTTGGACTTAAATTTATTAAATTTTATTTAAAAAATTGAAATTATATTTTTACTTAACGATATATATTCAATTCCAAAAAGCATACATAACCAAGATAACTAGATTCCATGCTTTCTAATTTTTCATGGTCCCATTAGGAAATGACGGTAGTGAGTGACGCTCTGATAGTGTGACGGGTGGTCTGTAGCACGCATTTTTGAGGTATATGTCTGGCTGTGTGTCTAATCCTCAGTGTCCTGCAGTTCCGGAAGGTCATCCCTTGAGTAGTCTACTCATATTTGAGGGAAATGGGCAGCTTCTATTTTGATAGAGCACCCATAGGTAGAAATCTGATTGGACACCGTGTTGTTGAAGAAGGAAAGGTAGTGCCTCCAGGTAGGACTTTTAGGGGGTACTACTCCCCATTTGCTTAAAATAATTGAGAAAAACCTGGCAAACTCCCACCAGGTATTCCGACTATTGAATCAGGAAACTGTGCATACACTATCGAGCTTCCTCGAGCATATACAAACTCTATTGAGTCTGCTCGTTTTTTGAAACTGTGTCTACAACAGTGCCGCCAGCAGCGCACGTTGCCCCTGAGCCGCGAGTCGGGCGTTTCCGAGGTATAACCTGAATGACGTTGAATCTGTAACATCTCTTCTGTCCTGGTGGGAACGTCTCAGAACAACTCATATCGCTGCTCCAAAACAGCAACAACAATATTATCCATTTTAAAATAATATTCAAAAATCTGTAAAATGTTCAGAATTCAGAAGTTAATAAGGAATGAAACAAAAACATTTATAATAAAATTAGGAGAAAAAATAGAAGTTGTTATTTGAATAAATTATAAAAAAATAACCTGTTTGTTTATTTAAGTTCAATATTTATGTTATCCGTAATATAACTATAATGCTGTGTTACATAAAATCAATCCAAAACGAATTTTTATTTAAGAATCCTTACGAAGAATATCCAATAGTTAAGAACGTAAGCTATTATTTTTTAAGTAAATAAGTTTAAAAAAATATTACAATTTTTTAAAGTTATTTTTTTTACCTTGTTCAATATTTGTTTATATCGTTATCGCTTTAAACAATCCCCAAATGCTTTGTCCGGTCACTACACCTACCGACAATGGAGTTATTTTAGGCAACTCTGGGTTTCGCAAGATAACTCTGCAAAAACACAAAGAATAAAAGTAAGAATATGTTTTGTAGAGGGGCCAAATCGATTAGAGCAACTATTAATAACTCGGATGCGGCGTCCTTGCGAAAGTTAATTACTGCTATTTTTCTGGATTTGACGAAGCGTGGAACAAGAAATTAGCTGCGTCCTTTTTCTTCCTGCCACAACAAAGCGTCTCTTTCAATAAGATCACAGTTAAAGATACTCGTTCTGTTTGCGAACGATTCGAAATGAACGAATCATGTTTTGGAAATGGTTTGTTGACTCGCTGTTTGTTTCGATAATGCACCAGCGTTTTGCACGTGTGTCATATATTCGTCGGTTTTCTTTTGATCTTCAGCGAATTACATCCTGAATTGGAAAACTTTTTTGTCGGAGAAAGATAAAGAAGACTTATTCGATTCAACAGTTACGAAAATATTTTGTAGCCTGCAGCAATGTAGAAAATGCAAAAATAAATTTATTTTGATTTGTAATCGATTCTTACATGTTGATTGTTTGATTATTTTCTTTTCAGTGCAAAGTTGTCTTTAAATAATGGCAATTTCTTTTGAATTGGATTGTTTACGTTGCTTTTTTATATATTTGCTGTTAGTCAATGGAAAGAAAAATTAGAGTCTTTTCATTTTATCAGTTTGCGGAATCTATATGATAAGGATCGACAAATATGGCATTTTCTGTGCTTAAATGGTGCCTCGAAAGACAGTGCATTTTTATAATTCACTGTCTTTAATTTACGTAATTTACTTTTCGCCACTTAAATTAAAATGACATGTTAAACTTAGCAAACTCTTTGAAGACAACAACCTTAAGCAATCACTACAGAGCCCTTTTCTCATTCTTTGGGTACTGAAGGACAAATGCAATAAAAATTTGAAATGGTGATAGAACATATGATGCCAGAAGTAAAATATCACGAATTAATTCGCTTTAGAATATAACGAGGTAGCCCAGAAACTCCCTGTAGTACATAATTACAAAAAAAAATTTATTCTTGTGCAATTTAACTAGGAGTGTTTCGAAAAAAGATGCCCGGTGAAAAGTATACCCGGTATAGTACTAGTATATACCCGGGGTGATCCGTTTGATAACTATATAGATGCTGAAATACATTCTATACAGATGCTCATTTAGCCTGTTTGATTTTTTTCAGATTAATTGCATTCGATTCCGTGTATTCGATCTCCATAAACTCCCTTACACTGTAATCTTCTAAACTTATGAGACTGAAGACATTTGATCATCTCAGTTAATCCTTGTCCCCTAAGTATCATTTTGAGACTGAAAAGGTTACAATGAAATGAGGGGAAACGGTAGCAGCGGTTTTCTAATGCCCTTCTCATTTGGAAGTGGACGAGTTTCGCTTACCTTGCACTCGTAGTATTAGGAAGGATTTTTGAGTTTAATCTGCTTATCTGCTGAGTCCCGCATCTTTGACAAAAGCTCGGGTGTCGCGGAAGTTCCGCGGATCAGATTCAATTGGGTGAATGGATTCGCGGAACACAGCTCATGTTTTGTGTAGCTATGCATGGACGGAATTTTCAGAATTGTACTTAAAGCCAGTGAAATGAATTTTGGAGTAAAACACAGTGATTTATAGTGATCCGGATTGATATATATTGTATATACAGAGAGGGAAAGAAATAGATCGATTAATAAAGATTGTAATGTCTCGGCCTATACTGCGGTTATAACGTCTTCAAGCAGAAAGTCACTTTCAGATGCACGGCAACGTTGTGTTGTTGTTGTTGTTTCTTATCCCACTTGGCTGGCCAAAGCCCACGAGCCCGTACGTACTCATGATTGAAGGGGAAGGAAGCAGCTTCTGTTGTGATGGAGCACCCGTAGGTAGAAGCCTGACTTTTGCTCCGTGACGCTCTTACAGTCATAGGAGACCGGGACCTACGGCTTAAAGTGGATTCCGAACCACTACAAACATCCATGGCACCGCCGGGATTCGAACCCGAAACCTGTGGCACCGAGCACCCGAGCGCTAGACACTCTGGCCATTCAGGTCCCAAATTTGCGAACGGCAATGCCATGGTGTTCCCAGGTGGTCACCCACCTAAGTACTGACCGCGCCCAATGATGCGTGACTTCGGTGATCTAACGAGAACCGGTATATTCAGCATGGTACGGCCGTTGGCCAAACATTGGCAACGTTGTAAATATATACAAACATCATTATATATATATATATATATATATATATATATATATAAATGAATATGGATATAAATTAGATAAGAATTGCAGTTCAGTCCAAGTTTGGAAACAGCTCTTTTCCAGCTCTCGCGTCTACGAAGGATCAAGATGCAAAGTTGCTTTTACATTTTTTCAAAAAGCAACCTGAACATTCCTATTATATGGGAATCTCTCGTGATTCCCATATAATAGGACTGTTCAGGTTGCTTTTTTCTATCTTTTTGCTGTTGATCAGTAGAAGAAAAAGTCGATACATTAAATTTTTTCAAGTTGCGGTACCTATATGACAAGGACAGTCAACTATGGCCCTTTCGCAGCTTTTCGCTCATCTTTTGGGTACTAAAGGAAGAATGCAATTAAAAACATGAAATATTGATAGAACAGAACCTGTTAGATCTACGATATCACTAGTTAATTCGCTTTAAAAATAATGAGATAGCTTAAATGTCCTCCTTTTAGTACAGAATTAAAAAAAAAAATTGATTCTCGCGCGAGGTAACTCGTGATGCGTAAAGAAAAAGTTATAAATATATGTTACAAATATATTCGGTGATCCGTTAAGGAAATATATAGACTTTAAAATACATTGTCCTTAGTTCTAGTCTTGGAACTATCCTTAGATCCTTAGCTTTGAAATACATTATCCGCAGGTTATAGAACACATATTGCCAGACGTATAATCTCACGAGTTGCTGTTTGCTAAGAAAAATACGAGGTACCCCAAAGTACCCTTTTAATACAGAATTAAAAAAAGATTTTTGCACGAGTTAACTCAGGAATGTTTCGAAAAAAGATACAAATATAAGATGCAAGTACACACACAGTGCTCTGTTAAGGAACTATATAGGCTTTGAATTACATTGGTCTTTGTGATTCATTTCGAATGTATGATTTTTGTTCATTAATTGTATTCCATTCCGTGTATTCGATCTCCATAATCTACATTTAAGCGAAAACTCCTACGAGAATCGACTGAAGACATTCGATTCATCTCAGTTAATCCTCGACCGCTAAGTTTCATTTTAAGACTGAAAGGGTTTCGGTTGAATGAAATAAGGGGAAACGGGAGTAGCTGTTTTCTAATGTACTTCTCGTTTGGAAGTAAAGACGAGTTTCGCTGACGTTGCACCCGGAGTATTAGGAAGGATTTTTGAATTTAATCTGCTCATCTGCTGAGTCCCGCGTCTTTGATGACAAAAGATCAGGTATCGCGGAAGTCTTGCGGATCAGATTCGATTTTAAGAATGAATTCATGGAGCACAGATCAGATTTTGTGTAGCTATTCTTAGACAGAATTTACAGATTTGTATTGAAAGCCAACGAAATGAAGTTTGAAGTAAAACATGTGTTACTGATTTATAATAACTGATATATATATGCGTTACTGGTATATATATATATATATATATATATACAGAGAGAACGAGAGCGAGAGAGAGAATGATATAGATTGTAACGTCTCGGCCTATACTAGACTTATAACGGTTTCAAGAAGAAGGCCACTTTGAGGTTCATGGGGGCATATTAATTCTTATCTACAAACACAATACATATATACATAAATATATTTACAAAATTTAAAGATAAAGATATATAAATTAGATACGCAAGTGCAGTTTACTCAAAGGTCGAAAATTTTCGGAGATCTCGAGTCTACGACGAATCTATTTCACCAAGTCTGCTCCAGACCTTAACTATCACACGTCGTGACTCACTATGAAACCAGACGGAAAACTCTCCCCATTCAGTCACTTCAGAAAAAACCCACTTTCGGTAGATTCATTGTATAACTCTCTCTTTCACACACACACAAAACTCCTTATAAGACAATCCGTTAAGAGGTGGGGGAGGTCAGCTTCCCTCACTTCTCCTTTGATTAGACATTTTCTCAGCCCATGGTCTATCGCCCATCACGATGGAACAACTCATGGAGTAATCCATATTCAATCTTTAATTATTTCGACCTATGAAGGTCACACAAACATTCCCTAATTTCCTCAAGATACATAATACCAAATATCTGCTGTAAAATAACAAGCAATAAATAAAAAGAAATTTAACGTAGGGCAAAAAAAATTTGGTGCCCTTGAGCGAGTAATCTTTTGTATAAATTTCAAATTAATAAATCCTTTTTATGGCTAAAAATACTTTAAGAGTGTTTAAAAGGGAATTTAATTATAAAAACATAAAAATAATTCCTATCTCCTAACGAAGAAATAGTTCATGCCTTCTGAGGCCAGTGAAAAATTTAGATACTTATTTGAAGCAAAATGTAGCAATTTTAAGATAAAATATTCACTAAGTGTTAGATTCTTTGTTATTTTAGCAAATATGAAACTGTAATTACATAAAAGGAAAGATCAAATAAATATTTTGAAATTAAATCAATTAAAGGTAAGTGAGTTTTGAAAAAAAATTTGAAAGTGAGTTCTGTTGAAATGCAAATTGCCTTAATTTGATTAATGTTTCCGAGTCAAATAGCTCCAAAAGTGAATTGCTTGCAAATAAATAACTTTTTCAGATAATTTAGGTGATCATTAAGATGAAAAAAAATCTCTTTCACTATAAACAGGACATGAGGAATTTATTTACATTCTTTCATCACATAATATATACAAATCATGAGATAATTAAATCATCAAATAAATAAACGAAGTAAAGGAACTTGCACGTAATTGGAAAATGTAACCATAGCATAGTTTATAGAGTACTTTCTTTATTCTTTTTATTTGTAACTTTGAATAACTAGTATGCAAAATATTTTTTTAAGAATTTTGAGAAAAAAATAGTTAGTTAGCTTAAAGATAAGGTTTTAATTTACAGAGCAATTCCAAAACGTTTATGATCTTAGCGCACTCTTAAATTTACATAATGTGTCGATTAAAAACTTTTAAAGACTTCAGGGGGTGTAGATTAACTTTTTAAAATGTTAACTTTGAAACACTATTGCAGTTTTAAATGTTGTTCGTAAAGTATTCGCCAAGAAATTGAATAAAACGTAACTAAATGGCTGTATTCAGGCGCTTAACAAGTATATCTTAAATCGAAATTCAGTAATCAAATTAATTATTTCATTATTTATTCCCTTGACTTTTTCTTGGATTATTTTCTTGTTTTGTGGTATATTTTAGAGTCTGATGTATTTTATATGATCCCAAGATTAAATAATATCAACAATCCATAATCCTATTTCATTTGGCAAATCTAAATATATCTTTGGAGTGCAAAGAGAAAAATGTTTGACTGTTGATTCGTAGTCCTGGAAAACGCTAAAGGAATTGGAAATACATTTTTGCTACCGTTTGGAATTCGAAATACATTTCTTAAAAATTTCATTGCGAAGTTACAACTGTATTCAACTCCTATTTTGTTTCGCCACGTCTCCTTCGAACTGGAAACAAATATCTCCATTTGTCATTTTTGGTTGAAACTATTGACATGCGCCATTTGAATTCTATGTTCTTAAGTTCCGCTTTTGAAAATGGAATCGCGTTCTTTCAGTGTCCGACGTTAGAGAGTGAAAGAAACAATTTTTCTCTCTTTTTCGAAAGAAAGCACATTGCCGTTTCGCCGTTATCATTTGAATATCACTGCGAGGAATGCCTTCTTTTTTGGTGAGCTTTGGCGATTTATTTTGAAGTACCGGTGTCGATTCGAGCCATAGATTTACTCTGCCCTGACAATATTTTATTTCAGTTATTAAATAGTTCTGTTGTGTCGATATAGTTGTAAATGTGCATTTATAAATATTGTTCGTATTAAGGTAAAATTGTTTGTAATCATTACATAATTCATACGTTGCAGTGATATACACTCATGTCCATAAATTAAGGATAATTCAGAATCACACAGAAATTGAACTCTAAAATAAAATTTCACCTGTAGAATTACCACACACATCTTGAAGAAGAATATGCAAATTAGAGGAAACCACCAGATGGCGCGGATAGTACGTCAAAATGACGAGAGTGTTAGAGAGGGGTATATAAGGAATGGTGGCAAAGAAGTAAAATTGTTCACAAGCGCTATAAAAGCCTTTCAGTGAATAACCGCATAGTTATGGCACAAAGGAAGCATTTGAATGATTTTTTACGTGGTAGAATTATCGGACGACTGGAATGGGGACATACCCAGCCGGAAGTATCCGAGGAACTTGGAATCGCCCAGAGTGTCATCTCCAGGCTTTAGCAACGATTCCAAGATGATGGTAATATGAGTAGATGAATGAGGACCGGTATTTAGCAGTTACTGCCAAAAGAAACAGACGGAGCACAGCATCAGGCCTGTCTCGTCAGCTCTCTTCAGCTACCGGTACGACAATTTCAAGGCAGACCGTGTACAAACGCTTAGGGCACATTGGTCTATATGCTCGTAGGCCTGTCAGATGTGTTCCACTTACCGCAACTCACTGTCGCCTGCGATTAACCTGGAGTTGAGAGCATACATAGTGGACACCGCAACAGAGGTTTTGTGTGATGTTTTCCGACGAGTCCAGGTTTAGTTTGCAGTCCGAATCTCGCCGGACTTTCATATGGAGAGCGCCAGGTACCCGTTACCACCAAGAGAAAACCATTGAACGACACCGTTACGGTGGTGCAGGATGGCTCGTTTGGGGAGGAATTATTCTTGGTTCCAGAACTGACCTGCATGTTCAGAGTGTAACGATGACAGGCCACATCTATCGGGATGTCAATCTGGAACAACATGTATGTTTGTTTCGGGGCGCCATGGATGCTGAATTTCTGTTTATGGATGACAACGCCCGTCCTCACCGTGCAAACATTGTAGACGAATGCCTTCAATTGGAGGATATTACCCGTATGGATTGGCCGGCATTTTCACCGGACTTGAATCCAATAGAGCATGTGTGGAATATGCTTGGCCGAAGAAATTCAGCCCGTCAACGCCCTCCCACCTGTCAACCGGAACTTCGGAGGGC